TGCTTATGTGGTGCTGAGGAATCGAACCCAGGGCCTCATGCATGCAAGGCAAGCGCTCTACCACTGAGCCACCTTCCCAGCCCAACACTAGCGCTTTAGTGTGCAGCTTTTCCCCCTTTGTGATAACCCTGCTCGGTGTTTTTTCCATTTGCTAGACCTTCATCTAGACTGAGAGTGATTGCAGGATGTGTCAAAGGGCACAGTGATGGCAGAGCAGGGACTTAAACCTCTTCAGCCATGGTATTCTGATATTTTTCCACTGGGAAACAGTTTTCATTTCCTATGAACAGGGCTAAAGATGATAATACACACTAGTAGTAAGAAGAGATAAATGTGGGTTTTTTTTTTTGGCTCACTTTTAAAATAAGTAAGCTCCTATGTCAGGTCAGTATCCTTTCTTTCTTTCCTTTTTTCTGTCGTTCGTGGGGCCTGAACTCTGGGCCTGGGCGCTGTCCCTCAGCTCTTCAGCTCAAGACTAGCACTCTACCACTTGAGCCTCAGCGCCACTTCCAGATTTTTCTGCTTATGTGGTGCTGAGGAATCGAACCCAGGGCCTCATGCATGCAAAGCAAGCACTCTCCCACTGAGCCACCTTCCCAGCCCACCGCCCCCCTTTTTTTTTGGTATCAGTACTGGGGCTTGAACTCAGGACTTGGAAACAATGCTTTTTTTTTTTTTTTCCTTAAGGCTGATGCTTTTCCACTTGAACCACACCTCTGCTTCTGAGATGAGTGTCTCATGGTCTGTCCTTCCCAGGCTGGCTTCAAACTTGCCATCTTTACTTCTCAGTCCCAGGTCTCAGTCTTGAGTAGCTAGGATTAAGATATGAGCCACTAGCACCTGGGGACATTTTTATTTAACATACTGAGGATAATATGTGAGATTGTCAAGATAAAGTGTAAAGTAGACTGAGCGTTGGTTAATTGGAGACAAAGGCCTCATGGATTTTCCTACCTGGGCTAGTTTTGAACCTCGATCTTCAGATCTCAGCCTCCTGAGAAGCTAGGATTACAAGCATGAGTCACTGGTGCCCAGCAGTTCTTAAGGTCTTTGATCCAGTTTGGGTTTATTTTTGTACAAAGTGAGAGATAGGATCTATTTCCAGTCAAAGCAGTATTCACTGAAGAGTTTTTTTTTCTTGTCTCTTTGGTGTCTTTGTCAAGAATCCTGTGGCAGTCCCTGCTTGGGTTTATTTCTGTATCTTTTGCTCATGTATCTCTCTATTATTGTGCCAGCACTATGCTACTTTCTTGCTATGGGTCTGTAATATATTTTGAAGTCAATTACTATGATATCTCCAGGATTACTCTTAAAGGGTCTTTGACCTTCTTAACTAATCATTTCAGAGGGGCTAATTTCTACTTATTTGTCAGTGATACCTTATACTTAGAAAATGCTTAAATGTGATTAAAGTCAAACCAAAGGAAGAAGGAAAACAATTTCAGTTTTTACTTTAAAACATGGTGGTACAGTACAAGTAACTAAGTTTGGTGCTTAGTTCATGCTTTTAGTTTTTAAATTTTGAAGTTAAAAAGAATTTTGTGCTAGGCAAGTACTCCACCACTGAGCTACATCTGCATTTCTATTTTAAGATTAATTGATACATAATTATGCATATTAATAATGTATAGTGACTTACCATATATGTATATAATGTACAAGGATCAAATCAGGACAGTACAGCAGTCATCTCAAATATATGTCACTTCTTTTTGTTGGGAGCATTTGGATTCTTCTGGCCATTGAAAGCTTTTGTATCTTTCCTAGGCAACTCCATGGTGGGTGAAGAGAAGATGGCTTTAAGAAACCGAGTGACAAAGTCCAGTGAAATCCCTGAGAAAGATGAAGACCAGAGAAACCTTACGAAGGAATCCCTGGAGACACACAGAAATGGTGAGGCACTTACTTTTTTTTTTTTGAGGATCGAGGCAGTACTAGGGATTGAGTTTGGTCTTGTGCTCTTGGCTTTTTCACTTAAAGCTAGTACTCTACCATTTATGCCACCCTTCCAGCTTTTTACTCGTTAATTGAAGGTAATACTTTTCTGTCCAGGCTAGTTTCAGTCTACAACCCTCCGATTTCAGCCTCCTGAGTAAACAGGATTATAAGGTACCTGTCATTTAAATTTTTTTTTTTTGAGATGAATTAAGTAGAGAACAAATTTAATGTTTTAGAGTAGGTTTCCATCCCTTATTGTAAATGAATATCGACAGTTTTATATCTCTGGTTACAAAGAAATTAGCAAGGAAGCTCTTGTTATTTAGTTCAGCGAACATTTGTGGAACGTGACTTCTGTTTTAGTCACTGTGCTTTCATTCTGCCACCTAGTCATTATTGAACAGTTCTGTTAGATGCCATAGCTACAGAACTGATCAATACAGACATATTTGCATTTGTGGAGCTCCAGGTTAAGTGAATGGTAAAACAAAACACTCCCAGGGCTTGGGATGTAACTTTGTGATAAAGCGTTTGGCTAGCATGTGTGAAAGTTTGAACTTCAACACTGGAAAAAAAATTACACATTTAATTTGATTATTGCAAATGAATGTAATACTCATAATATTGTTAATTTCAGAATAGATATAAGTAAATTCTAGTATAATTAACAAGGTACATAAATTTTGTATTGAGCTACACATCATAGGGAGAGATAAGAGAGTTTTATTTTGGCAGTACTAGAGATTGAACTCAGAGCCTTAATCTGGCTAAGCCGCACCACTTGATTCATGGCCCAGAACTATTTTGCATGCCTGCATGCCAGCCTGCCTGCTTGCCTTCCTTCCTTCCTTTCTTTCCTCCTTCCTTCCTTCCTTTCTTCGTCATGGGGCTTGAACTCTGGGCCTGGGTGCTGTCTCTCAGCTCTTCAGCTTAAGGCTAGTGTTCTACCACTTGAGCCACAGCGCCACTTCCAGTTTTCTGGTGATTAATTGGAGATAAGAGTGTCATGGACTTTCTTGCCCGGACTGGCTTTGAACTGCGATTCTCAGATCTCAGCCTCCTGAGAAGCTAGGATTACAGGCGTCAGCCACCAGTGCCTGGCTTGTTTTGCATTTCTTATTCTACAGGTCTTGGTTTATTCGGGGCTGGCCTGGGCTGTGATCCTCCTACTTGTGCTTCTGCATATTGCTGGTGATTACAGGCACACACCATTATACCCAGACATTGAGTTGATATACCTGGGCTGGCCTTTAAACCTTGATCCCCTGATTTCTGCTTCTTCCCAAGTAGCCGGCTTACCGGCTTGTCTGGTGTTTTATTAGTTTTTATATCCACTTTTGCTTAGTGCACAAAGAGAATGACTTAATGCTTGTTAAGGTCAAGGCTTATATAAAAACACTAGCCTTGTAAATGTAGTCTGTGTCATCTGTTGCATCAAGTTATTTATTTTTGCAATGACATTTCTGTAGGTTTGATTTCAATAGGGATTTGAAATTTGAGCTTTGTTTGGTTAACAAATAGAGGTGGAACTTTTAGAGGTAGGTTGTCTTTGGGATCCTGAGGCTTCTTCTCATAAAGAAACTTTTTTTTTTTTTTTGCTTTTCCTACATTAATTATAAGTATCACAAGGTGAAGCTCATTAGGAATATATATGTTTAAGGTGGAACATGAAATTTCCTGACAGCCCTTTGCCTGCCCTTTTTTTTTTTTTTTGGTTGGTTGTGGGGCTTGATCTCTGGGCCTGGGCTCTGTCCCTCAGCTCTTCAGCTCAGTGCAAGCACTCTACCTCTTGAGCCACAGCACCACTTCCAGTTTTCTGAGTGGTTTATTGGAGATGAGACTCAAGGACGTTCCTGCCTGGGCTGGCCTTGAACTGTGATCCTCAGATCTCAGCCTCCTGAGTAGCTAGGATTACAGGCGAGAACCACTGGTGTCCGGCTGCCTGCCCATTTTTAAATTGGGTTATATCATTGTTCAATACAGGAGTGCTTTATGTATTCTAGATGTTAAATCCTCATCAACTAAATGAATTTTAAAATATTTTATTCAATTCAATAAAGTTCTTTTCACTCGGTTGTATCCTTGTTTAGAAGTTTTAAAATTTGACGCAGTTCTATTTACTTTTTTTTTTTCATTGCATGTGAATTTAGTGTCATAGGTAGGGAATGATTGCAAAATTCTTTTTTTTCTTTTTTTTGGGTCCGGTCGTGGGGCCTGAACTCTGGGCATGGGCGCTGTCCCTCAGCTCTTCAGCTCAAGGCTAGTGCTCTACCACTTGAGCCACAGCGCCACTTCGGGCTTTTTTCTTTTTGCTTATGTGGTGCTGAGGAATCGAACCCAGAGCCTCGTGCATGCAAGGCAAGAGCTCTACCACTGAGCCACCTTCCCAACCCTGATTGCAAAATTCTACATCATGTAGCCTCCCCTTTATATTCTAAGAGTTTTGTAATTTAAGTCTTTGATCCATTTTGAGTCAGTTTTTGGATATAGTGTAAGTTAGAGTTCACCTTCATTGTTTTGAATGTGGCTATCCATGTCAGTTTTAGGAATATTTGTTATTCATGGTAGGATGAAAAATGCCTCACCTCCCAAAACACACATCTTGAAACCTAGAATGTACGAGAATTACTTTATATGAAAAATACAAGGAAGATCTTTGTTGATAAAATTTAAATTTGGGGTCCTGTGGCACTGCTTAGTTTGTTCAGGCTGCTGTAAAATAAACAAAATCTTAAACTGGGTAACATAGAAGCACAGAAACACGAAGCAAAAGGAGCTCAAGGACAATCCTCAGGACCAGAGTTCAAGCCCTAGGACTGGCCAAAAAGAAGAAAATGTTCTGGAAATGAGCAGTCTCGGGCTGGGAAGATGGCTCAGGGTATAGCCATGAGGCCCTGGGTTCGATTCCTCAGCACCACATAAGCAGAAAAAAAAAAGTCAGAAGTGGTGCTGTGGCTCAAGTGGTAGAGCGCTAGCCTTGAGCTGAAGAGCTGAGGAACAGCGCCCAGGCCCAGAGTTCAGGCCCTACGACTGGAACCAAAAAAAAAAAAGAAAGAAAGAAATGAGCAGTCTATGGTCAGGGCATTGTCAATGTCTCCTGAGGTCCTGCTTCCTCATAACCGCTTTTTTTATTTGTTTGTTTTGGTGCCTGAACTGGAGTTTGTTAGTGTTGTTGTTGTTGTTATTATTATTTTATTAACTTCATGGAGCCCACAGCAGTTGCCACAGGCAAGCCTCACCTCCCTAGGCTGCTGTGACCTTGGCTGCCACAGCTCACACCCACCTCTGAAAGCCAGTGGGAGCCAGAATAGTGCACTGACGTGTCTCCTTCAGTCTCCTATTGTGTCCCTTCCTGGCTGTTTGCTTTCTGCTTCTACAACACCACTGTTCTTCTGCTTCATTGCCACCAACAGGGACCTGAACTGATTTTTGAACCCAGATCCTTGCTCTCTTGCTTGGCTTTGTCCACTCTTGGCTAGTACTCTACCACTTGAGCCACAGCTTCACTTCCAGCTTTTTGGTTAATGGAGATGAGTCTCAAGGACTTCTCAGTCAGGGCTGACTTTGAACCATTATCCTTAGATCTCAGCCTCTTGAGTAGCTAGGGTTACAGCTAGAGTTATTAACCAGGCTGAGTAGTTTTCAGATTTTAAGATCTACTTCAGATCTTCTTAGGTGGATTGTAAATTTCATCTTTAAGCATTCAAGAGAAGCCATGCAGGCCCTTCATCATTGCACGTGTCAGATGTCTAATTTCACCACACACAATTTTTCCACAAAGGAGGATGAACACAATTTAGCTAAGTACTTAACTGTCCTATAATAAGGATTTCTTTCCCTCCAATTTGCAATAACATCCTCTATTTCCCTCTGTGTTAATTCAGTTAGGAAAGCACCTTTGATCTATATAAGGCAGGGTACTGCTAAGTTTGTTAGTGGTGGTGATTCTGAAACAGAAAGCAATCCTTTGCTATGAAAAGGAGTTAGTGAATTTTAGTAAAGTAGTAGCACACACCTAGATGTATTCTTAAAGGTAAGATGGTTGGATCAGTGTTTTTGCATTTAAATTTAGATGTTACTAAATTTTCTTCCAAAAATGTTAAGACCAGTTCATACTTCTGTGTGCACTATTTTCCTGCTTTCTTGGCAGTATAGCTTACCACTTAAAATAAAATTGAGTGAAGGGTATGGAAAGGGCTTTTAAAGAAAAATAATAAATAAAAGCTTCCTACCTCACAATTTTGAGCAGATTTGTGCTGTATGTTATATTGTTTTTCACTGGCCAAGTTAGCAACCTTTTAAAAGTAGACTTCTGCAAGCACTAAAAACCTGCTACTGTGTGCTTACACTTTAACCAATTCTGAATTTGCTACAAGTAACAGAAAATGTTTGGTTACTTTTTTTTCTTTTCCTTTGGCCAGTCCTGGGGCTTGAACTCAGGGCCTAGGCACTGTTCCCTGAACTTCTTTTTGCCCAAGGCTAACACTCTACCACTTGAGCCACAGCACCACTTCTGACTTTTTCTGTGTATGTGGTACTGAGGAATCAAACCCAGGGCTTCATGCATGCTGAGGCAAGCAATCTATCACTAAGCCACATTCTTAGTCCCAAGAAAATGTTTGGTACAAGAACTGAAGCCTAAAAAGTGGTTATTAGTCACTGCTTAGTAGTTCTTAGTCATCTTTAGAAATATAGTCCTTCTAAGTAGCTTACATTTTTTCAAAAAACTGCTGCATGACTAAGGGTCAGAAGACCTGGTTTTCTTTTTTTTGGGGGGGGGGTCCGGTCGTGGGGCCTGAACTCTGCGCCTGGGTGCTGTCCCTCAGCTCTTCAGCTCAAGGCTAGCGCTCTACCACTTGAGCCACAGCGCCACTTCCGGCTTTTTTTCTTTTTGCTTATGTGGTGCTGGAGAATCCAACCCAGGGCCTCATGCGTGCAAGGCAAGCGCTCTACCA